TATTTACATCTTAAGTGGTTGACTACTCTTGAACTCCATTGAAGTATGCAGGAAGTGGAAGTATTTAACAACTGGCAAAATCAAGAAGTTTCTGAAGAAAAAGAGAAAAAGCAACCTCTAGCCACTTTAAAAAATGAACTTCCCTCAGTCAAGAAAACAACACCCTACCTCGCATTCAACATCTGTATTTCTACAAATGAAACAATTAAGGCAATAGTAAAGATTAATTTATTAGAAAATGCCTCATTCAAGAAGTTTGGAACTTTCTCTGCAAACACACACAGAAAAATTTTAGTTCCCATTCTGGTTTGCCTTTTTGCACTCCACTGAACTGGGAGACTCTGAAGTAATGTTTATTTTCGGAATAGTTCATACAGTTGCTAGACATGGGATCCAAATGTCTTGGCAAATCCCATCCTTAGTCCTCATATTCCCTAATACAGAATTATGAGTGGAGTTGAGACATGATTGTTGAAACCTCCTGTACTGGTCCCATATTCCTTCAAATACTTGTAATGTTTATGTGTGTGCTTTTTTGAACATTTCTGTAGCTCTACAGAGATGCAATTAAATGAAAAAAAAATACTTATTTTTAATACACGCTGTTTATCACTTCTGCAGTTTGTTTAGTTTATTTCATGCTCTTGAAGAAGGAATACTTCTAGTTTTTCAAAGTTATAATTAGGTGTATTCATTTAAAGAAGTAAAATACCAAGAACCATCTGTATACAAACATCAGCCCATCATTAGCTTAAAATAAAACAAAAGACAAAATAAAAATATAATGATGTAGTATTCTTACAAGCTGTGGAGAAAAACTATCTTCTTGTCACAATAGAATCTGCATTTTGTTTCAATGGATATCAGTGTTTCACATAGGGATACAAAATAATCTCTAATTGTATATTCAGAGTCCAGTATGATATTTCATTCTTATGTCAGATCTCAGAAATGAGTAGTGCATCAGATGTTTAATGACATGTTTTGACTGTATGTTCTTTTGCTATTATACCACAAACCTGAATGTGTTCTTCCTTCAACTTCCTTTCTTATAATGTCTTTGATAGAATCTTACTCAGTTGATTGGAAGAGAGACAAATAGATCTTGACACTGGAAAAGAAATACTGGGTTTTGTTTCATAGGTATTTTATTATACCTATTAAAATTATTTGATTATATTAAAATGATATCTAACATAGAATATAGTATGTATCAAAACTATAGATTTTCTAATTTTTCCTGCAAGTTTGAATTAAAATCAGGAATTGGATCTAGAAATTTGGCTGTTCTGTGTTTGGTAGGTCAGAACGAAGTCCTGGAAACAAATTTCCTTGAACTTGGGAAAACTGAGATTCAATTGGCGTCTGACCTTTGCAGGATAGTCCATCTCTTTGGAGATACATAAAAACCTGTCCTCTTCTAGTTCCTTACATGACTAGAGACAGCACAGGCAGGATCAGGAAGACAGGCAAAGACATGAGTGAGCCAATTATAATCTTCATCCATTGATAGATACAGCAAAATTCAGAATCCCAAACTGACTAATGCTCAGTGTACACCAGTCTCCTGGGTAATAGAGGAAAGACTGATTTATGTAGTTATGGTAGGAGTGGCACCACCACAAGCCAGTCCAGCCGATGACTCCTTCCTACCCCAGACCGTGGATCCCAGCCTAGGGACCCAGGGACTTGGGATCTCTGCCCAGGCTGAGGGATCCAGCTGCTCCTTTCCTGTTTGCAGGTTCAACCAGTAGCAAAGTACAGAATGTGTCCCAGAGACCAGCAATAACGATGTGCTAATATAGGGTCAGTCAAGAACTGGTACTTCAGATTCAGTGAAGCTGAGAATCACATATTGAAATGCTTCTGTGGTTAGTTCTCAAATGCTATCAGTATTGGTAGTAATTTGTTGGAACATATAGCTGAACCTAATCATACATTAGTGGCTTAGTTATTTGGTTCATACATTTTTTGATATGAAGAGTGAATTGTGGCTCTAGGTTTTGATCTTTTTTTCAGTTAGTTCTTGAAGGATGGTGGATAATCTTTCATTATATTCAGATATATCCATATAATGTCCTTGGCTTTGCTGGATTTGTATCAATATTATTAGGAGTTTACCTCAGTGTTGGTAACCTTGAATTTAATATTTAAAACAAAGGAATTGTGGAAGTGCTTTGAACCAGAAGATGATACACAGGTTTCCTGCACAGCTCTGCTAACGCACTGACAATCATAATGACCATATGTTTGGTGTTAGTCTGGGGCTCCTGATGAGGAGTTATAGTGTAGTTTCAGTGACAGTTTGAAAAACAGACAATTATACTGAAAGTGTGAGCTGTTTAAATATAATTGGAGAAAGCATCTGATAGGAACATGCAAATATTGTGCTTGCATTGACCAAACAAATGAGAATTAACTTGTACTTTCTGTCGCTCTCTACTGTTGTCTGTAAAGCCTCAGATGAATCAGTTTAATCAGTCACTGGAAATAACAAGTTAAAAAAGTGGAAGGCAGGTTTCTGAAAGCCCTGTCCTCTTTTCATCAGATAGTCATTAGCCAATGCACATGCTGGGGAGAAAATATAAATCCTGTCCCTACAACCTGACTGTTCTGCCAATCCAAAATAACGATTCCCACAGTCTAGGACTATTTTGGTGGGGGGCAGTTGGTCTGATGAGGTTATTATGCCCTAGTTAGGCAGTTGGGGGATCGCTAGGACTTTTTCCTTCTCCATCTGATGTGTATTAGTGTGAGACGGTTATTTATCTTTCTCATATCAGTTTTGGCTCCCTGTAATAATGTCATAATTTTTCTCCAAAGGTGATATGACCTCAAGACAAACCTTTGCCCAATTTCTTGAAATACTTGTCAGAGCTAACTTTTAGCATGGTCAGTGCTTAATTACTATAACATCATTGATTAATTCTGTGGCCCACCAGTGAACTCTGAAGTGAATGCTTATTGAAGTGAGTCAGGAAAATTTAGGAGCTACCAGCAGTAATTTTAGCTGATGGGAAGACAGTTTTAGAAAATTTTAATAAACATTATTGGTCATATGAATGTTCTGGCAAACCGTTTCAGTTAAAATTGGTCTTAATTATATTTTTAGGAAGACTTATGTGTATCTGGGCTTTTTTTTAGTAATAGGTGCCACATTAAGCAGCATGTGTCCTCAAGTCCCAGATGCTTGTTTCTGCTGCCTGTTCATTTCCCTCTCTTTAGTCAATCTATTTGTGTGGCACATGAGAAACTGTATTCAGGAACAGAATTTAAAATTACATTAATTCCTTTTTCCTGCTGCTGTTCAAACAGTATCAATTTAATAATCTGTTATTCTCTTGTCTCCACAATAGCTGTTTCCATGCTATTGAAGAAGTCAGTGAGGCATTAGGGATCAGGAAGCTGAATAAGAAAGTGGGAGCTGTATAATCTGTTTTAGCTACCAAAAGAAGTGTGTGTGATTTTTTTCACCTGTGTCTGTCAGCCATGCAGAACTGTAAGGCTAGTCATTTTCCTAGCTGAAATTTGCAAAACCATTATGCATTTTTCAGACTTTTAACCTTCTTTACCAAGAAACATTTGTCAGCCCCTCTCTCTTCCTTCCTGCTCTCATCTTAAACAGATTCTGTCGAATTATTTTCTTGAAGCTTTTTCAGGGAGTTCTTTGTCAAAGATTTATAAGTAGCGTATGAGGCTCTCCACTTACCAAGGGCATTTTTCTCAAGTAAATTAACACATTCACTTCTGAAGGGCACTGAGTTAAATAATTACATACAAACATCCTCTGTCTCCCTGCCTTTTAGCCTGAGTGAGGAGAATAACGAACTCCAGCAATTCTATAAGAGTCAATTGAAATTGTGTATTGCCGATACAAGTGCGTTTATATATCTTCCTAGCAACTGATCACACATAAACAGGCTTGATTGGTTACATGCATTCTTCACACACTGTCCACGTGCCTAAGACTAACATTTGATTGGTTATTACTCCCTGTCCATAATACGCCAGACAACTCATTGGCTACAAGTTAGTTACTGCTATCCTAAGCCTATTGGTTAATTAAATCTTACAAGCACAAACACAGTGTTCTATACACTTTTATCTCAGGGCAGAAAACTTTCCACTGTTTAAGAAACGAACAGATGTTTTCCATTAACCGTCACCTTGCACCTTTTCTTCAGACAAAGCTCTTGTTTTTCTCATTCCTGTTTGATACTCCTAAGGTTTCTGGCTGACGAAGGTCAAGATGTCCTCATCATTCAACAGCTATACAGCACTCTCAGTTCTTCCTCCTCTTTTTGCGTCCCTTTTGCAATGTAGCCAAAGTCTTGCTCTTGTCCAATGTGTCCTCCAAAAACAATCCCACAGCCTGAGTCAAGATACTAGTTCATTCTCACCACTTATAAACCACCTTCAGAAAGACAGGCAAATGAATATTCAGAGCAAAAATAAAATACTACAGAACATCCTCAGATTCCTCAGAAGTGGGTGAGGACATTAGATTTTAGGGTTAGTTTTAAGTTTACAGAAAGTTTCCAGTACAGTTATTCATTGCCCAGCGGCTTAGTTCTAGAGAAAGCTGAACTGGAAATTCACTTCATGGAATATATGGAATACATTTATCTCAGAAAAATGAGAATGTGATTCCTAGAATATAGCAAGGAGATGAATCATTTTCCTATTCCTTTAATGACTATATGAAAAGTAATGAGAAACAACAATAATGGGCTAGGAGAGAAGAAGGGTAGCAGAAGACTTTCATCCTGTACACAGAAACTAATGAAAGTATCATTAGCTGTGCTTTATAAATTCTTGCAGGCAGTTGCCAATGATTTAACTCAACAGCATTTCAATGTAATCTAATAACTGTATAATATTTCCTTCCCACCTTGCCTTTCTCTTCCCCAGCTAGAAAACCTGTCATTTTCTGTGAAAAAATACTGGCTTGAGTAATAGTATATGAAGTTAATAATGCTTTTTATTCTGCTGGTCTGCAGGGTTTCCTATACAGATGAATGACTCGGATCACTCGCTATTTCAGCATTCATTTCAAGGATGCATGCAGTTTATTCATGTGGATGATCAGCTGGTGGATTTACACGCAGTGGAGCAAGGCCAGCTGGGAAGCTTTGCCAATGTCACCATTGACATGTGTGCCATTATTGACAGGTAAGTTGTGGAGACATCACTGACACTCTGATACACTGATACCTGTCTTGCATATTCTGAAAATATACAGTGATACAGGAAAGGTGGTTCTGACGCTGCCAGTGATCACATCAAGGCAGTCCTACCTTTTTAGCAGTGGGAACCATGCTTAGATGATGGAGATTATGGCTTTATGTTGTAGATCAGCCAGGGTGCAGTGGAAAGCATACCTCCAGTCTCCCACTCAGGCAGAGAAGGAGTTGAAAAACTCTCGTAAAACAAATTCAGCCCACAAGTCAATAATATGGCTGCCTTGAAGAGAAGGAACTCTCCCAAAAGGTCACAGTTTGTCTGTTTCTTAGATGAATGTTATGGAGATCTTTTTGCAACTAAAAGTTGTTCTTCCTGGCTTCAGTGCCTTCTTGGCTTCACTGAATTCCTTAGAGAACTAAAATATGTCCACATACTTGCACAACTGTACATGTAATAAATGCTCAATCTTTATTAAAATAACGTTTAGTGGGTGGGTTTTTATCAAACTGAGAAGAGTAATTAAAATTATGGCAAGCTTTTGCTTTGAGTCTTACCTTTTCAACCACTTACCTGTGTTAATTTCTGTTGCACCTGATAAATAGTTTTTTTCTTTCTCGGCAAAAAAGAAATACTAGTAAAGACAGAGAAAGGGCGAATAGCCCAACTCCTGAACACAGGAAAATTGGTTTGTCATGAAAATTACCTACATATTAAACCCATTGCAAGTCTGCTGGAAAGCTGAAAATGGCTTTTCAGAATTCTGCTTTGGAAGAAGAAAAGATTACAAGAGCATTGAACCCTAGAATAATTCAGGTAACAATCAACACTGGGATTCATGTGCTCTAAGTCCTGCTCATGCAGGGCCAGTTTC